AACAGGGAAGTGGGATGTAAACATGTTTTCAAACTATGCATAAAATATACCAGATAAAATTGCTACGGTATTTGAATGTTACCGCAGAGCGGAATTTGGAGAGCAGGGAAGTGGGGAGACTGAAAGTGCAGATTTCTGTTATAAACTTTAAGTGTAATCTGTCATTTGAAATGATGTATATATCTTACCTTGATAAGAGTAAAAACAAGATAAAATAAAACTATTAGAATTCCATAAAAATAAGATTTACTGATTCTTATAACTTCAGAAATTTTACAAAGAAGCTTTAACTATGAACAGAGGGTATCAGCATTTAAAACATCTGCATTAAACTTTTATGTGCCAATTTATACCTATCCAATGCTTAATCCAGCTCAGACCGTATATTTTAATTACTGAGACAAAGCTAAAACGCAACAAAGCTACATAATTAAAGTGCAAATTTAAGGATTCTCCCTTCCAAGTCTCTGTTCAATTCTATGATCATTTGAAAACGGGCTAGTTTTGCTCTGGCTTCTAAAGACAAGTATGAACAAACTATGTACATTTAATTAAATCACTACATAAAAACTAGCAATATTATAAAATGATTTTTGAACACTAATAAATCACCCCATTTCATTTTTTTTCTTGTTTTTTATTTAGAAAGTTCAGTGAAACAACCTGGCATCACAGTTTAGACATATTTTAATTTCACTATAATTTAACATTTAAAAAAGCTACTAATTTTTTGATTTTCAACAATAAAATTTATAAAAATAATTTTACATTTATAAAACAAATTACTTCACAATAAATTATTCTTTTCTATTACCTAAAAAAAGGTTGTATACTCTATAAAAGTAATAACTTTCCTTAATAATATTTTAGAAATATGCTGAAAACATTAGTTCCTCTTTGTCCAGCATTTTTGGCAGTTCAGTGTATCAAAATATTATATTGCAAGTTCCCTGATCATAGTTATTAAAACTGCAGTGGACTGATCATTTCTAAAACATAGGTGCCATCTATGAACCAGAGAATAAATCTACCAGTGCCTTGATCTTGGACTTCCCACCCTTGAGAACCATTAGAAATCAATTTCTGTGTTTATAAGCTTCCCACTTTTTTGTTACAGGAGCTCCAAATGGACTAAGACAATAGTTCTTTATTTCTTCTAAGAGATCAATCTGAAAAAGTAAGCAAAAACCTATAAAAAATGTTGTATTTATAAAATGGAAAAATATTCTTCTTCATGAAATAGACACTAGAGTACATTTTTAAAAAATAAAGGTTAAAAAACTTTCTCCTCTGGGCCAGCTAGTGGCATGATATTTAAAATGGCTGGATGCCACATGGCTGAATACAGTTTGAGTCCCACACACTATGGCTTGAAAAACACACTGAGAATATGTGCGTGCCCGAAATCCCAAGAGTAGAATGGAGAAGAAAGCATTGCAGCATGGCCATCCTCCCCAGGAATTTCTCACTTTCCCTCTGGCAAACGTATTTATATGCTCTATAACTAATATTAAAAAAAAAAAAGGAAAGATTTTCCTCTTTTGTCTCTAGCCCTCTCTCCTACCAAGATATTTTAGTTGCACGAGAGTACCAGCTCTTGGAGGAATTTTATTGATTTTATTATATCAATGATAGCTTTTAAGTAATCGTTTTCCCACTTTAAGAATTTAATTTCACTTTAAGAGCTAATAAATTAGTTAATATTAACATGATCTTTTTGTTGGTAAGGCAAATGGGGTTTATAAAATCACAAGCCTAGAAATTTTGACAAGTCCTGAAAAACAAATCATATAGCTTAGGATATTCTTCTTTATATATATATAATTAATAATTACTGAACCACTTTTTCTCTGCTTCAGCAAGTATAGTGGGAGAGACAGGAGTCATTATTTCATGGGGTGGCCCATCACTAATTGTTTTAAAGTAAGTTCCAGTTTTAGAGGACATCAAATAGTTTAAGGCTCCAGTGAACTATAATGCTCCATCTAGAATTGGATGTTCAGTACATTTCTTGACTGCTGGAGTTTTCAAAATCTGCTAAGTCTGTGATTTGAATTTATTTTGTTTTCCCAAAATCGATCTGGTGTATCTTTCTTTTTTTTTCACATTTTTCAAGGGAAAATTTTTGTTAAAAGTATACAAGTTGTTTTCTTACTCAATGTGCAACAATTTCACACTTACCACTGACATGCAAATATATAAGTAATCTGATGAATACTATTCAGTCTTCACTCAATCGCATATATTTAAACACGAAACTGTAAGAAGTGCACCTTTCTCATTCTCCACCGAAGACTGACTCTCTCTTAAAGTCAACTGGACTTGGGCTTGAAGTCAGTCTTACCTTGAGGTTTATGAACTTTGGTTATGTTCCCTAAATCCCTAAGCTAAAGGTTTATTTACAAAAGAGAGATAATACCTCTTAGAGAGGTATCATGACAGTGAAATGAGGCACATGATGGTAGATCACTGATGTGTCTGTTTCCCAGTATCAGTTCTCTCAGAATTGTATGACTTTAGCTGGCTGAAGCTGTCCACTTGAAATTCCTCTCCTACTCTCCCTGGGAACTAGATGTGGGCAGGTGCTAATTTCTAACCAATGGATGGCCATTTCTAGATTCTTTCAGGAGAGAGAAATACATGTCTCTCTTGATTGTACCACTGTTTTAGAAATTTATTTGTACAGGCCAATCTCCCAACAGATAAAACTAATGTGTTTTATCGTGACGTACATCTTCAAATATAATCCAATGTATAACAATATCCAGTCAACCTTAGAATGGCTTTTTATAATTTCTAATCTAAAGGAAGTCATATTTAATTGTGAGCCAAAGAGTTGCTTCTTAGCTACAGAGTGCCCCTGAGTCTTCAAAGAAATAAACCCCACTACAGCAACTGCTTTGTTTTACTAATCTGCAAGTTTGTAATTTCTAAAAAAAAAAAAAAATAATAAAATAAAAAAGATTCTTTCTCTTTATATTAACCTGGGATTTGTGATCTGCTATTCTCAGTCAAAAAAGAACACTCAGTTCTGCATCACTTCACAATAAAGCAATTATTTACAGATTTAAATTAACATTAAGAAAACAAATAAAAGTAGTACATATGATTCAACTGGTTCAGGCACCACGCAGTAGGAAAAAAACACTATATAAACATATTCAGAGTCAGATAGACATTGTAAAAGTTTTCCACAGTAGCAACAACAAAATGAGCATATACATAAGCATCTATTTAGGATAGCATCTTAAAACAGCACCATGAAAAAAGCCTTGGCTAAGTGTTTGCAAAAGTATCCTGAGATTTTCCAAGACCAACAAGTTTTCACATGTATGCAGTGCCGTTCGAAGTAAACATACTTTCACAATTGCTTTTGTTTGGAGAGAGGCTGGTGTGAAATGACTGAGGCTTGGTTTGCAGTTATTTTGTACTGTTCTTGTCCAGAGCCTTGTGTTGGAGAAGGGAGCGGGGTTTCAGGAGTTGCTGGAAAAAAAAAAAAAAAAAAAAAATCAGAGACTTGTTCAACGATGGTGACAGTCACCCTGCCCCATCACATTAAACCCTCCACAACACCAGTATGCATTATCTTATCTTGGAAACATTCTTTAGAAGACCACATATAAAGTTATCAATTCATTGGCTGCCCATAAACAACTATTAGAGAGGCATTCTCGTCCTACCTCCCCAAATAGCATTAAACGGGAGAAGTTTGCACTAAAAAAATCTTTAGTTACTTTAAGGTATCTTCTGCCTTCATTAATAGCATTTATAAGCATTTGACTCTCACAAATCCAGAAGAAACACCATAAAATGAATGAATAAAATGTCAGTGTTTTAATACATTAGAAGAGAACCTATATAATTTTTACAATCAAAATGCACATAAATTATAAATAGATCTGGTTTGGATTCCACTAATTCCAACATATTAGATGGCACAAAAAATAAGATACTTTAGGAAGATTTCAAAAATCCAAGCTGTACTCAAAGCATCTGAGAAATACTGGTTTTGTAGTTCCAAAATTATTCTAGTACGATTGAGCTGGCCTACTTGGGCTTGAAGTCAGTCTTACCTTGAGGTTTATGAACTTTGGTTATGTTCCCTAAATCCCTAAGCTAAAGGTTTATTTACAAAAGAGAGATAATACCTCTTAGAGAGGTATCATGACAGTGAAATGAGGCACATGATGGTAGATCACTGATGTGTCTGTTTCCCAGTATCAGTTCTCTCAGAATTGTATGACTTTAGCTGGCTGAAGCTGTCCACTTGAAATTCCTCTCCTACTCTCCCTGGGAACTAGATGTGGGCAGGTGCTAATTTCTAACCAATGGATGGCCATTTCTAGATTCTTTCAGGAGAGAGAAATACATGTCTCTCTTGATTGTACCACTGTTTTAGAAATTTATTTGTACAGGCCAATCTCCCAACAGATAAAACTAATGTGTTTTATCGTGACGTACATCTTCAAATATAATCCAATGTATAACAATATCCAGTCAACCTTAGAATGGCTTTTTATAATTTCTAATCTAAAGGAAGTCATATTTAATTGTGAGCCAAAGAGTTGCTTCTTAGCTACAGAGTGCCCCTGAGTCTTCAAAGAAATAAACCCCACTACAGCAACTGCTTTGTTTTACTAATCTGCAAGTTTGTAATTTCTAAAAAAAAAAAAAAATAATAAAATAAAAAAGATTCTTTCTCTTTATATTAACCTGGGATTTGTGATCTGCTATTCTCAGTCAAAAAAGAACACTCAGTTCTGCATCACTTCACAATAAAGCAATTATTTACAGATTTAAATTAACATTAAGAAAACAAATAAAAGTAGTACATATGATTCAACTGGTTCAGGCACCACGCAGTAGGAAAAAAACACTATATAAACATATTCAGAGTCAGATAGACATTGTAAAAGTTTTCCACAGTAGCAACAACAAAATGAGCATATACATAAGCATCTATTTAGGATAGCATCTTAAAACAGCACCATGAAAAAAGCCTTGGCTAAGTGTTTGCAAAAGTATCCTGAGATTTTCCAAGACCAACAAGTTTTCACATGTATGCAGTGCCGTTCGAAGTAAACATACTTTCACAATTGCTTTTGTTTGGAGAGAGGCTGGTGTGAAATGACTGAGGCTTGGTTTGCAGTTATTTTGTACTGTTCTTGTCCAGAGCCTTGTGTTGGAGAAGGGAGCGGGGTTTCAGGAGTTGCTGGAAAAAAAAAAAAAAAAAAAAAAAATCAGAGACTTGTTCAACGATGGTGACAGTCACCCTGCCCCATCACATTAAACCCTCCACAACACCAGTATGCATTATCTTATCTTGGAAACATTCTTTAGAAGACCACATATAAAGTTATCAATTCATTGGCTGCCCATAAACAACTATTAGAGAGGCATTCTCGTCCTACCTCCCCAAATAGCATTAAACGGGAGAAGTTTGCACTAAAAAAATCTTTAGTTACTTTAAGGTATCTTCTGCCTTCATTAATAGCATTTATAAGCATTTGACTCTCACAAATCCAGAAGAAACACCATAAAATGAATGAATAAAATGTCAGTGTTTTAATACATTAGAAGAGAACCTATATAATTTTTACAATCAAAATGCACATAAATTATAAATAGATCTGGTTTGGATTCCACTAATTCCAACATATTAGATGGCACAAAAAATAAGATACTTTAGGAAGATTTCAAAAATCCAAGCTGTACTCAAAGCATCTGAGAAATACTGGTTTTGTAGTAACA